AGATGTGAGCTCTCCGCTGTTCCTGCTGCCATGCTTTTGCTCTACCATCATGGACTCTAACCCTCTGGAACTGTAAGCCTAATAAAATGCTTTCATGTGTAAGTTGCTTTGGTCATGGCGTCTTATCACAGCAGTAAAAAAGTAACTAAATCAACCACAGTTCCTTTAGCCATTCATCTGTTCCTGGGTACCTAAGCACTTCAGGATCTTGGCTATTGTGAATAATGCAACACGCATAGATTTGCAAATATCTCTGCTCAAACTACCCTTTGATCCAGATTGAGCCACATTCTAGAAAAATCTGTCTTAGTTAGGGTTTGTATTGCTGCATCGAAACACCATGACTCAAGCAACTTGGAGAAGGGGTTTATTTGGCTTACACTTTCACAGCAATGCTCATCATCGAAGGAAGTCAGGGCAGGATCCTGGGGGCAGGAGCTATGCAGAAGCCATGGAGGGGTGCTGCTTACTGGCTTGCTCCCATGGCTTTGCTCAGCCTGCTTTTTTTTTTTTTTTTTTTTTTTTTAAATAGAATCCAGGACCACCAGCCCAGGGATGGCACCACCCACCATGGACTAGACCCTCCCCCATCAATTAAAAAAATGCCTTACAGCTGGATCTTAGAGAGGACTTTTCTCAATTAAGGTTCCCTCCTTTCAGATTTATCAAGTTGGCATAAACTAGCCAGGACAATTGACCTCTTGTCAACTTGACACACAAACATATCACTGTTTAACCATAACCATTCCTTTCTTGTTCACCCCCAAGATCACACATTAACATCAAAATCACAACATAAAACATTTTACAAATGTTAAAAGTCCCACAGTCTTTAAAAATCAAACACTTTAAAATTCAGTCTCTCAGGGCTGGAGAGATAGCTCAGTAGTTAAGAATAGTTGCTGCTTTTAAGAATAGTTGCTGCTCTTCTGGAAGACCTGGTTCAAATCCCAGTACCCACATAATGACTCACAACCATCTACAACTTCAGTGCCAGGGGATCCACACCCTCTTCTCTGTCCCCCCACACCCTGTGAACATCGCACGAATTTGGTACACAGACATACTTACAGGGGAAATATTCATACACATGAAATAAAAACAAATCTTAATAAAAATTCAGTCTCAACCGTGGGCTTCTGTAAATCAAAAAAATAAATATTTCCTTACTTCAAGAGGGAAGAACCAGGGCACAGTCACAATCTGAACAAAGCAAAAACCAAACTCTAACAGTGAAAATAACTCAATGCCCAATGTCTAGGTTCCACTTCCGATCTTCTGGGCTCCTCCAAGGGCCTTGGGTCACTTCTCCTCCACCCTCTGCAGCGCACACAGCTTGTCTTCTAGGCTCAGGTGGCTCCACACCACTGCTGCTGCTGTTCCTGGTGGTCCTCCCATGGTCCTGGCATCTCCAAAATGCCGAGGCCTTCTGCGGCAACTGGGCTGCACTTTCACCAACAGCCTCTGCTAGGCTCACTTCATGGTGCCAAGCCTCATCTTCTCTGTATGACTCCTTCAATCCTGGCTACACCTTCATCGGTGGCTGCTCTGGGCCTCTCATAGCTCCCAGCCTCAGCTGTTCTCCATGGCCTCTCCATGACTTCAAAACCAGTACCACCTGGGTGCCTCTCGTACTACCAAGTTTGGCTGCCAGTATAAGGTACAACCTTGGCCGCCTCTGGAACACGGCTTCTGTGTACTGACTCTCAAGAACCACTTCCCAGAAAATTTTACCTCAGTGATGCTGGTCTCTACTTAATCATCACCAATTTCTTAGCTCCGGCTAGCCATTGTCCCAGTAATGCAAAGATTCATTTGTCTGGTCTCTTGTTAATCATGGCTGCTTCTTCAGGCCCAGCTGACCAGAATGACAGAATATTAACTCAAAATAGCGAACGACCTTGATAGAGTCTGTAAACCTCCCTCTGAAACTTCATAAGCCAGGCCTCCATCTCTCTCTCTCTCTCTCTCTCTCTCTCTCTCTCTCTCTCTCTCTCTCTCTCTCTCTCTCTCTGCAGATTAAACCTGATACATCTCCAATTCTCTGGCCTTTTTCAGTCCCACTCACCACCACCGTTTCCTTCCTTTAGTGATCCTCCAGGTTCTCCTCTGAAACAGTATCTCTAAGGAACTGACCCATCCTATTATTATTATTACTGCTGTGGGGAGTTTGAGATAAGTTCTCTCTGTGTAGCCCTGGTTGTCCTGGAACTCATTATTTAGATCAGGCTATCCTGGAACTCATAGATATCCAACTGCCTCAGCCTTCTGAGTGCTGGGATTAAAAGTGTGTGCCACCATACTCAGTTTTTGTTTTTTAATTCTTATTTCATGCATATGGGTGTTTTGCCTTCATGCATGTATCCGTATCATGTGTGTGCCTGATACCTGAGGAGGCCAAAAGAGGGCATTGGATCTCCTGGACCTGGAGTCCTAGACGGTTGTCAGCCACCCCAAAAAAGAATGCAAAGAGTTGGAGCTGAAGACGCGGTTCAGTGGCTAAGAGCACTTGTTGCTCTTGCAGGGGACCAGGGTTGAGTTCCCAGCACCCACATGGTGGCTCACAACTGTCCGTACTTCCAGTTCCAGGGGACCCAGTGCCCTCTTCTGACCTCCTTGAGCACCAGGCATGCACATTGTGCTGTTGGGTGTTCTGTGTTGCTCGGGTCCGTTGAAGAAAGAGGGTCACTCCAAAATGCAATTCAGGCTGTGTCACAGCAGGGAGGAATAGTTCCTATGAACTGACTGAGCCCCAAACAGCCAGCAAAGGTGTATTTATTGATTGTTACACAAAGTTGTGTTTTGGGTAGAGCAAGTTCCTCATACAAAGTTCCTGATCTAAACTGTATGTTTGTTGTTGTTTGTTTTTGTTTTTTGTTTTTGTTTTCTTTCGAGACAGGGTTTCTCTGTGTAGTTTTGGTGCCTGTCCTGGATGTGGCTCTGTCGACAGGCTGGCCTCGAACTCACAGAGATCTGCCTGGCTCTGTCTCCCGAGTGCTGGGATTAAAGGCATGCGCCACCACCACCCGGCCTAATCTGTATGTTTTCTGAAGGAAAACAACACACTCCTGCAACCTTGGTCCTTATTGTGTACTCTTTGCAGTACCCAATAATGCAAGACACCCCAGGTGTGCCAGGACTGTCCTGTGACCAAAGTCATGCAAAGGCTGTAAAGCTCCTTCAGAAAAACAACGCTACAGATATCAGAAAAGTGTTTCCCACAATGATTTCTTCAAGACGTAAGTACTTCGAGAAAACAACTGTTCATTCATTTGTTTAGCTTAGATTCAGTGAAAACAACTATTTCATTCTAACGTTTACCCTAGATACAATGACTCTACTAATTTTTCCTCTACATCGCATACATACCTGCAGTCAGACAAAACACTCATGTACATAAAATAAACCTAAAAGCTTTTTTTAAGAACTAAAAGAGCTAATGTATTTGAGGTTAGCTGAGGCAATTTAGCAGTGGGGTGTGGGGAGAAAGAGAGAGAGGGAGAATATAAAGGGCTTGGCCCTGATCTGGCACATAATAAGCCCTATAAAATAAACATTGACAAGTGTCATTTCTGGCTCTCCTCCTTGCCCCCAAGTCCTCTGCACTCTGCCCTGCTTTTCCCGAGCTTGGAACCCTTTGGTGTGTGTGTGTGTGTGGGGGGTCTTTCCTCTGTGAACTCCTATGTGTTGACTGCATTAATCTTGACCTCCTCTGAGGCCTCAGCTCCAATGCCATTTTCTTACTGATATCCAGAGCGGGAGAGCCCTGCTTTTCGTCAACTGCCAAAGCTTTCTCTATTCTCCTCCACAACCTTCCCATGATCGATTTAAGGTAATCCTCCTTTAAGACTTCCCCTGACATCCTTTAAGCTCCGAGAGGGCAGAGGTTATGTCTGCCTGGCTCCCTCTGGGCCTCAGCACAATCCAGTTCACGGTAGGAATGCCTGAAACCTTTGCAAGATGAATAAGAAACAGAGCACATAAAAGGCTTTTTTCTTGAGCTGCAAGCTGCTATCCAAAAAACTAAACAGCACAATGACAAAGTGACAAAAGCTAATGATTACTGGAGAAATCCGGTGCTAAATCTGTAAGAATATGTATTTTGTAAAGGAACCTCCTCCTCAGTTGCTATACAACATATTGCTTCAAGTTGGTCATGCAACAAGTGTCTTCCAATCAAATGGAAATTAATTAAGCAAAAGAACCAGAAACTACTAGTGTAGCTGGGAAATCACAGATAGATAATGACTTGTTAAAACTTAATCCATGTTCATCCCCACAAAATAGACCTCAGATGAAAGAAAGGTTGAATAGGGAGCCTGCCTGATCCCAGAGAAATATTAACTGCCCATAGTTCAAGACAGGATTAAATATTTTCATAAACTGGCAAAACCAACCGTGCCAATCTGAGAAATCCATTGCTAGTTTGAGGACTAACTCGTGACAGTCATAAAAAACAACTATTATTTTATTATCATGCGATGATCAAATACTTGGGAAACTATGATGGATAGCATCATGGTTCAAAGTAGGCGCGACGGTGATTCTCTAGGGGAAAGTCTTACATGCTTTGCCCCCATAGGACCAAGGTAGTCTCTGAGAAGGGATGCTTTCCACCTCACCAACGGTCAGACTAACGATTCCTTTCCTGTGTAATCGGCCTCAGAATACTTACCAGACGCTATCTCCGGACAAAATATGGTAATTTCCTAGTCATGATTGGGGAAAATTGAGCAAAGCACTGGACTTGGGCTCCAGGAAAAAAGCAAACTGGGGCGATTTCCAAAGCATCACTAGTGGCCAGAGGGCAGAAGTAGGGCTGGTTCAATGATCCCACAGGACCTAGGCCATTGGATACTGCCTCTCCCCATTACTGTGTTATTCAATAGTGCTTGGAAGCATCATTCTGAAAGTACGCCGCCAGGCGGCAGCCAAATCCTGGACTACATTTCCCAGAGGGCTTTGCTCCTGGGCGGTTGCAATTGAATCGGGGTGTGACTAGGAAAGAGAAGCCATAGTCTGCCAGCGGCTTTGGAGCATCAACCTCCTCTGGACTACGGCGGTGCTGAGATGGTTGTGCTCCTGCTGCTCCTCTGTCTTCCCTTCATCCTCTACCTGGCCACGCCAAAAATCAGGTCTGTGCCAATGTATTGCCTTTTCTCACCAGGTCTTTTTGAGAGGACAAGAATCCCCACTGAAGCTCATCCTTTTTTCTCCCCCTTTAAAAAAAAAAAAAAAGACTAGGAAAACTCCCCGAGGAGCCCTTTAGATAGTCAGAATCTAGAGCTCAGTGGACTGCAGGCGAGATCCTTTTCCCCTGATGTGGGCATGGAGAGACGCCAGACCCCAGGTGGTCGTGAACGGGCTCCGGGTCGCCAGCATCCGGCTTTGCTCCTCTGGCCTACTTTTTCTCCAGCACCACCTGCTTCTGGCTTGGGGGGGAAGCCCGACAGCATGGCGGGTTTCAGACCCTAACATGGGGTGCAGCTCTCAACGCTATTTCCTCTACTTCCACGCTTAGAACCCACCTTTGTCTAGCTGCTTGCTTTCAGCCCTTGAGGTAGTAGAGAGCGCTTGCTTGCACTTTTTGCTATCTGAACCCGACGCGAGTTTTATCCGTAGCCCCACTGCATGCTCTCTTTAATGTTATTCACTCCTCCCTGCAGATGTTAAAGGAAGAATTGAAAGGGGGAGATTGCTTTCTTTTGCCGTTGGAGCAGGGGTGTGTGTGTGTGTGTTTGCCTGAATTAGACTCCTAGGGACCAGGAGAGGAAGGACGGAGTGAAAGAAGGCGAAATGGTCTCTTGACCAGGTGTCAGATCAGCCCAAAGCTGGCCATATACCGCCGGAGAATCAGAGGCGCGCTACACTAGGGGCAGCCCACTGATTGGTTCCGAGTAAGTCACCAGGAGTGACGGAGGACTAGTAATAATCGTCTCCTTCTTTCTAGCAGCATGGCTGTAGTTCCTATTGGACATGAGGCTGTGCCCGATCCTCCTGTCATTTCTTACCGTAGTAAATGGTTTATTAACACCGGCTTCCCTCTCTTTTTACGTTTCCTTCTCTCCCTGGTGGCCTTCCGTTCGTAGTTTTCCTTTCTCTCTGAATACTCACGGATCCCACATGTAGTAGGCACACATGGACCTTGTACTCAGATGAAAACATGGATTTCTTTCCACCACCAGATAGATCTTCATATCCACATAGAATCTGAACCAAGACTTGAACCAGAACTCCGTCCAGGGAGATGTTTCTGAGAAGACTACCCTCTAAGGACTTTATTATCCCCATTGGAGCTTGTGGGAGTGGGGCCAGAGTTGGGCTTTCGTAGTTGATCGGATCTTTTGTTTTTGCTGATTACCGAGAAAGAACCAAGCACAGGTCCTGAGGATTTGACGGTGTTGACGCTCAATCTGAAGCGCTGTGAGAGACAGAGACAGAGGCCTGACCCCTGAGCAGAGTTGGCACCAGGCCGTTAGTTTTCTTTAAGCAGTAGCCTCAGTGGCTGTTTGCATTTAGCAAGTTCAACGGAACAGGTTGAAATGCTCTTTCAAAACACACCTCTTAGTCAACGGATGCTTTTAGTCCCAAGATTGTAGAGAAAAGAAAAACCTGAGGGTTGTGTTTGTGCCTCACCCGTTTGGAAAGTCTGCAGAGCATACAGCATAGGACCAAGAACTCCTATTAGACAAAAAAGATACAAATCCTCACGCTTTCTGTGTTACTCTGTTCTGTTGCTGCTATTATCATCATTATTATTATTATTATTATTATTATTATTATTATTTTGGTTTATCGAAACAGGGTTTCTCTGTGCAGTTTTTGGTGCCTGTCCTGGATTTCACTCTGTAGACCAGGCTGGCCTCGAACTCACAGAGATCCGCCTGGCTCTGCCTCCCCAGTGCTGGGATTAAAGGTGTGCACCACCACCACCCGGCTTATTATTCTATTATTAATGTGTGACCTTAGTAATCAAACCTGGGGCTTTGGACATGCTAAGAACATACTTTTACCCCAAGCTAAATCCCTTGTCCCTTTTTTTTTTTTAAGGTATGCACCAATACTTCTGGCTATATATATATAATATATATGTGTGTGTGTGTGTGTGTGTGTGTGTGTGTGTGTGTATGTATATGTATATATATATATACACATATATATATTAATTTTATGTGCACTGGTGTTTTGCCTGCATGTATGTATGTCTGGGTGAGGGTGTCAGATCCCCTGGAACTGGAGTTGCATATAGCTGTGAGCCATTATGTCTGTGCTGGGAATCGAACCCTGGTCCTCTGAAAGGGCAGTCAGTGCTCTTAACCACTGAGCCGTCTTTCCAGCCCCTGTCTCATTCTTAAATGTTTTTTTTAAATGTGTGAATGATGTGTTATCTTTTTCTTATTTTTGACCTAGATTCATAAGCTTATCTTTGAATTAGATTAGCCATTCTCAAGATTATAAAATGCCATTTGTCACAGATTGGCATACAAAGATGAAATTTCTTCGACTTGAGTATTGTGATTTCTTTTTTTTTTTTTGGTTTTTCGAGTCAGGGTTTCTCTGTGTAGCTTTGTGCCTTTCCTGGATCTCGCTCTGTAGACCAGGCTGGCCTCGAACTCACAGAGATCCTCCTGGCTTTGCCTCCCTAGTGCTGCGATTAAAGGTGTGCGCCACCACCGCCCGGCGTCTTGTGATTTCTTAAGCCAAAAATGCAGGTCTTGTGCTTCAGGGAGCAGATAAAACTTTGTTTGTTTTAGTTTTTTGAGACAGCATCTCTACATCATCCTGGCTGTCCTGGAACTCACTATGCAGACCAGGCTGACCTCGAACACACAGATCCCTCTGCCTCCCAAGTGCTGGGATCAAGGGCATGCGTCACCATGTCCAGACAGATCTAACTTTTGTCTTTAAAATGCTATCACTTTTTGTCCTTAAACAAGAGTGCTGTGGGATGGTCTGTATGTCAAATGTGTTGCTGATTGGTCAATAAATAAATTACTGATTGGCCCGTGGCCAGGCAGGAAGTATAGGCGGGACAAGGAGGGAATAGAGCTGGAAAGTGGAAGGCTGAGTCAGAGAGACACTGCCAGCCGCCATGATGAGAAACAACATGTAAAGATGCTGGTAAGCCACGAGCCATGTGGCAAGGTATAGATTAATGGAAATGGATTAATTTAAGCTGTAAGAACAGTTAGCAAGAAGCCTGCCACAGCCATACAGTTTGTAACCAATATAAGTCTCTGTGTTTACTTGGTTGGGTCTGAGAGGCCGTGGGACTGGCAGGTGAGAGAGATTTGTCCTGACTGTGGGCCAGGCAGGAAAACTTAAGCTACACAAGAGCATAAAATTTTTGTTTGTTTTCCTTCTTGAGACAGTTGCTTAGTAGCCCAGGCTGGCCTTGAACTCAATTCTTCTGTCTCCTAAGTGGTAAGATTAGATCTGGCTTAAGAACAGAGGGCTGTCTTCTTTCTTTCTTTTTCATTTTTTAACATTTATTTGTTGTTTATATGTATTTATTGTATGTTGGGCAGGCGCACATGTGTGTACCATGGCATATAAAATAGGTGGAGGTCAGAGGACAACTTCCAGGAGTCAATTCCCACTTTCCATCATGTAGGTCCTGGAGACCAAACTAATGTTGACAGGCTTGGAGGCGAGCATGCTTATCTGCTGAGCCATCTTGCTGGCCTTGTAACTTTTCAACTTAAGCTTATAAAAGAGTAACATTGAAAAAATAAAAGCAAACTTAGGATTGGAAGGCAGACGGAGTTGCAGGAGCCCTCAGCAGGAATGGATAATGAAGAACTGATATGTTTTCCTATGATTCTAGGAAAATGCTGTCCAGTGGGGTGTGTACATCAAATGTCCAGCTTCCCGGAAAGGTAGTCATAGTCACCGGCGCAAACACAGGCATTGGGAAGGAGACTGCCAAAGACCTGGCCCAAAGAGGCAAGTGCAAGTGCGCCTGCTCCCACCTTGCCCTGCTGATGTTTTGCCCTTCACAGTGATTATCATATTCATTGTTTCTTCCCAGACTTTGAATGTAAGAATACTCCAAGTACCTCGTTGATTTCCTCTTATAGACTGAATCTAGTGTGATGCTCTACATATAATGGGCATTTAACAAAAAAAACTTAAAAAATAACAAATATCACTTCTATTTTTTTCTTTGCTCATTTGCTTCATATACCACTGTTGTGACGTAAGGGACAAAAATTGCTGTTTTGTAAAATATCAGGAACAGTCAGCATCTGTGTTCAGTCACTCAAACCAGTTGAAAATAGAGCTGACAATTTTTCCTTCGTTTGGTTAACAGGAGCCCGTGTGTATTTAGCTTGCCGGGATGTCCAAAAGGGGGAACAGGTGGCTAGTGAGATCCAAGCCACCACCGGGAACAATCAGGTCCTGGTACGGAAACTGGACCTAGCTGATACCAAGTCTATCCGAGCCTTTGCCAAAGACTTCTTAGCTGGTAAGTGGAGACAAAGACTATATTATGACCACTGGGACATAATTTTATTTGTATCATTATGTCAATATATTATGATCAAAGGGACATCTTCAGGATGCAGAAACAAACAGAGGACCTATCTTAGTTACTTTTTTATTGCCGTGATGAGATACCATAACCAAGGCAACTTAGAAAAGAAAGTGTTTAATGTTGTAGGGGGTTTTTGCTCTTTTGCTCTTTGGGGGGCTTACCACCCAGCTCCCAAATAAATTCACACACGGAAGGCTTATTATTACTTATGAATGCTCAGCCTTAGCTTGGCTTATTTCTAGCCAGCTTTCCTTAACTTATCCTGTCTACCTTTGCCTCTGGGCTTTTCCTGTTCTCTTACTTCTGTAATTCTTACTCTTATTTTGTGGCTTGCTGGTTATGTAGCTGGGTGGCTGGCCCTTCATGTCCTGCCCTTCTCTGGCTCTTTCTCCTTCTCTCTTTCCAGGTTTCTCCCTCTATATATTCTCTCTTGCCTGCCAGCCCCACCTATCTTTTCTCCTGCCTTGCTATTAGCTGTTCGGCTCTTTATTAGACCATCTGGTGTTTTAGACAGGCACAGTAACACAGCTTCACAGAGTTAAACAAATGAAACATAAACAAAAGTAACACACCTTAAAATAATATTCTACTACAGTTTAATTTGGATTTCACAGTTCCAGAAGGCTATAGTCCATGACCATCATAGCAAGGATCATGGCAGCAGGTAGGCAGGCATGGTGCTGGAGCAGTAGCTGAGAGATCACATCCTGATTGTAATCGCAAGGCAGAAATAGTTAATTGGGAATGGTATGGGCTTTTGAAATCTCATAGCCTACCCCCAGTAACATACCTTCTCCAACAAGACCTAATCCTCCTAATCCTCCTAATCCTCCTAATCCTCCCCAAAGAGTTTCACCAACTAGTAATCAAGTATTCAAATATATGAGCCTGTGGGAGCCGTTCTCATTCAAACCACTACAGAACCCCAAACCCACAACTGTGAGCAAGAACTAAAGTCAAACTGTAGCAGGAACATCAGAACTCAATGTGGGCTGGACTTGGTAGGGTCTGTCATAAACATCCATGCTGGGATAGGAAAGCGATGAGGCCTCAGGCCTTTGAGAGCTGGAACTGTATAAAAGGTTGAGATTCATAGAGAGCAATTTGGTCCTTTATATAAGTACTAACAAGAAAAACAAAACCCTGGCTACCACCTTGGGGCCATAATAAAGCAGCCTACTCTTTCTTAGTATATTGAATACTTTTCTTTTGCTGTGATAAGATACTATGACCAAGTCAACTTACAATAGAAAGCACTTAATTGGGTTTACAGTTCCGGAAGTTTAGAGTCCATTATTACAGAGCAAAGGCATGGCAGCGGGAACAACTGAGAGCCACATCTTGAACTATAACCAGGACACAGAAAGTGTCCTGGGAATGGCATGAGTCTTTTGAAACCTCAAAACCTGTCCCCAGTGACATACTTCCTCCAGCAAGGCCATACTGCCTAATTCTCTCCAAAAAGCTACCAACTGGGGACCAGGTATTCAAGTGCCCGAGATTTATGGGGGGCTTCTCATTCAAACACACACTTAGATCTGGATCGATGAAGGAAGGAAGGATGGTGATCTGCAAGAAATTAGAATCCAAGCTGCTATCATGAAGTCATTCTACTAAGCGTTGTAGCATCTTAATTTAAAAAAAGCCTGTGGGGCCAGCGAGATGGCTCAGCAGGTAAAGGTGCCTGCTTCCACGTGGTGAAGGGAGAGAACTAACTCCCACAAGTTGTCCTCTGATTGTACACACGCTCCATGCCATGTATTCTCTCTCACTCAAATAAACAAGTGCAGTAACATTGTTTAGAAAGCTGTGGGTATTTCACCAAAAGTAGCCCCAAGAGTGCTGTGCGGGTATTGCCCCCCCCCCCCCCCCCATCACCCAGGGATCTAGACTGCTTAAGGAAGGCAGCTTCCACCATAGGAGTTTGCAATCATGAACTACAAATCACACAGGAAATGAACTACAAGAGAGAAGTGGCAGGTTTCTTTGGGGGCCCAAATCCTAGACGTATCAGTGCTTACAGAGCATCCTTTTCCTGCTGACTTCTACATCTTCCCATTCCGCTTGGGAAGTCTTTCTTTTGGGAGAGATGGACAGAACACTTCCCCCAAGACATTGAGTAAGGAGCTTTTGGAGAGCCTGGGCATAACTATTCAGTGGTGGGAAATAGAATTTTGCCCTGTAAAAGTGTGTGAGATCAGCCCTAGTCTTACAATAAAAAACAATAACAAACTGAAAGGGGAGATGGAAAACCAATACAAAGTAGCAGGAGGGGATATAGGGAGAAGGTGGAGTCTTACAACCCTGCTTTCGTTCCTCCTCCTTGGAGACCTAGGCCTGGGTTGTGAGGACGATTTCCAAGACGTGAAAGCCATGGCTGTTTTCTCTTCCTGCAGAGGAAAAGCACCTCCACATTCTGATCAACAATGCAGGAGTGATGATGTGTCCCTACTCTAAGACGGCAGATGGCTTTGAGATGCACATTGGAGTCAACCACCTGGGTGAGAAGTCTCTCCTCAGTCCAAAGCCAGAGGGGACCTAAACTCTCCCGGAACATTCGGGGTCAGATCGAACCTTCTCTGTGGAATCATTGGGGCTCAGGGCTATAATCAACTATGCATGCATAATAGTTGAGAACTGCCTGAAAGCTGAGGACTAACCAGCCCTGAGGCCTGCTCCAAGTTCTGCCTGCTGTACATACATACACATATACATACATACATACATACATACACATATGTGTATTTCTGTGTGGGTGTCTGCTACATGTATATATGTGTCTGTAGAAGCGGAAAGAAAGCATCAGATCCCCTGGGAGCTGGAGTTCCAGGTGGTTGTGAGCCTCCACATATGGGTGCTGGGAACTGAACTCAGGACCTTTGGAAGAACAGCCAGGGCTCTTAACCCCTGAGCCATCTCTCCAAGTCCTCTCCCTACTTTTTAAATCTGTGATTCCGATTTGGCTTCTGCTGGGGGTAGAGTTGAATGGCTTGATTAGATTGAGGGATATGTTGCCATTCTTATGAATAATCTTTATGGTCAGCATCAGGTGGAGGCCATGTTCTCTTCGTGTTCATTTGTTGGGGGACAAGGTCTTGCTATGTAGCCCAGATTACCCTCCAGCTTGTGCTCTTTCTGCCTCAGCCTCCTGAGTGTGGGCCGCTGTCTGCTCTCCAAGAGTGGCCTGCTCAGCGCTGTTGCCATGAAACAGGATTCATATCCATAGCACAGAGCTGCCTTGTATAAGGGTGTCTCATGTCTTTGGCTGCTTCTATTTCCTTAAATCCCCATCTGAACTTGTTCTCTAATTTACAATGGAAAGTTGCAGTGGTGGGCCTCGTGCCCGAGTGCCACCTCACCTCTCACCGAGCTGAGCTCTGCTGGCCACTGTGCTGCTTACCCCACCCGGGTGCCGAACAACTCTGATAACCCTGCTTTCTCCTGACAGGTCACTTCCTCTTGACCCATTTGCTGCTAGAAAAACTGAAGGACTCAGGCCCATCAAGGATAGTCAATGTGTCTTCCTTGGCACATCATCTGGGAAGGATCCACTTCCATAACCTGCAGGGGGAGAAGTTCTACAGTGCAGGTCTTGCTTATTGCCACAGCAAATTAGCCAACATTCTCTTCACTCAGGAACTGGCCAGGAGGCTGAAAGGTGAGTGTGGGAGTGAGTAGTATGAGAGGCAAGAGTGAGTGGGAAATAGTGACAAGCCACAAGGTGGGGACTCTTTCCCAGAGCCCATCACCTGGACAGAAGCCGCTTCCATGAGTATAACGGTATGGTTTTGTAAGTCGCCCACACTGACAATTGGAGGTGGCTGGCTGGGGTCAGGGAAATTCTGACTTTGAATCTGAAGACTTGGCCCCACTGCTTACTGCTGTGTGGCCTGCAGCAAGTTACTGACATTTCCAAGATTTAGTTCCTCCCAGGTACAGTTTGGACTGCTTCCTGGGTTGCTGTCAGAATCCAGTCTGTCCTCACAAGCAAGTCAGTTTCTCACTTCTAGTGAAAAGTGAAATGGAACTTAATAACAGACATTAGTATGAAACATGTACTGGGATTGGTGGACACGGGCATCTCTCTAATAGCAAAGGTCAAATAAGGGGCTGGAGAGATGGCTTAGCAGTTCAGAGCACTTGTTGCTTTTGTAAAGGACCCAGGATCAGTTCTCAGCAGCCACATGGTGGCTCAACCATCCACAATTCTAGTTCCAGGAGATCTGATCCCTTCTTCTGACCTCCTTGGGTACCAGACACCCATGTGGGGTATATCCCTGCAGGCAAAACACTCATAACAAAAAAAATAACTTTTTAAAAACAAAAGGGAAAATATGCTTGAGAAGGGGGATCTCTAGTCCTAAGTAAACAGAGGTCGTTAGCATCGTCTACTGTGCATTTCTGATAAAGGGAAAGGGAATCTAGGGTGGGCAGTGCTAGGAGTTGAGCCAGACAGAATTCAAGCTCGAGGAATCAGGAGCTAGAGCCCCACCGTTGAAGTAGTAATCAGACCACACGGACCGCGGCAAAGTAGGAAGGATGAGAGGAAGGAATCCAGTGGTCAGCTGAGCCCCGATGCCAAGTCTGTGCCCAGGGCCAGGCATCCTTTGTCAGCCCAGGATGGGTCAGGAGAAACGATAGTAAGAACCACCAAGGGCCGGCTAGGAAGCTAAGATGACCCAGAGGGAGAGACCTGCATCCAGGGTGAGAGTTAGGTAAAAGCAGAGTGTACGCCAGTGAGGGACCCTAGCAGTTGTGATGATTTAGTGGAAAATAGTGGTATGATACAGGAACCCTGATGCCAGGGAAGATCCATCATCCATCCCACAGACGTGCATCCCATGTCCTAGTTAGGGTTTGGGGATGAAGCACAGGCCAAGACAGGCTCAGGTACTTCCTTGACTTGGCTTACATCTAATGGGGGAAAGAGACGTTAACAAGTGTTTGTATAAGCCACACATGTAAAGTCACTCTAGTTCTGTGTGAATAGCACTCACTGTAAAGAAGTTCAGATAGTTTAGATGTACACTAAAGACAAAAAGCCTCCATTCATCCCCATCCTTCCAGTTACCACTGTCGGCAGCTGCCAGTCATTTTCCCAAGCGTTTTCTTCTCTGTGTGTGTGTCATACATGAGGCACTACTATTCTAACAAGATCTCAATGGTCTTTCCATGTAATCCATACAAATTTACCCCCATTCAAAGGAACAATTTGGGGTGTAGATTTATAAATACAGCAGTTAAGAGTTCTTGCTGCTCTTCCAGAGGATCCAAGTTCAGTCCCTGCCTATAACTCCAGCTCCAGGGTATCTTCTGGCCTTTTCATGCACCCACACACAGGGCATACACACACATATGCAAAATAAAATAGAAATAAATCTTTTTAAAAAGTGTCAGCATCAGCCAGGCAGTGGTGGCGCACGCCTTTAATCCCAGCACTCAGGAGGCAGGACAATCTCTTGAGTCTGAGGCTAGCCTGGTCTATAGAGTGAGTTCCAGAATAGCCAGAGCTACAAAAGAAAATCCTATTTAAAAAAAAAAAAAAAAGCATGAGCATCATAAAATTGTAAGATGTGTGATGTTACCACAAGTGTAGATTTTTGTTGGGGGTCGGGGGGTCGTATGTGTCTTCCCATGCCTTGCTCTCTTTGGCTAGTTGGTAAAATCGAGTCTTATCTTCCTTCTTGACATGACCCCCGCCTGCACCAGGCTCTGGAGTGACAACATACTCTGTCCACCCTGGCACAGTCCACTCCGAATTGACTCGGCACTCGTTGTTTATGAGATGGATATGGCAGCTTTTCTTCCTTTTCATCAAGACCCCTCAGCAGGGAGCCCAGACAAGCCTGTACTGTGCCTTAACAGAAGGTCTTGAGAGCCTAAGTGGCAGTCACTTCAGGTATGAATGTATCTGTCTTTGGAAATGAGTTGTTATTGCTTAAGGGAAAAAACGTGGGTTTGTCTGGTGTGTTATATGCTTTTGTATAAAGTGTATTTCCCAGAGTTGGAGACATGGCTGTGTCAGCACAGTGGTCCTGGGTTCCGTTCTCCACACCAGTTACAACTGTCCGTGACTCTAGTTCCTGGGAATCTGACACTCTCTTCTGGCCACCAAGGGCACCAGGCATGGACATGAGCACAGACATACAGGCCGATAAATAAATACTCATACTTATGAAAATAACAATACATTTTAAAAAAATCTAAGTACATTTCTTAAAATAACGTTTGTCCTTTGACTCTAAGATTTTTCTTTTAAAAGGAGAATTGGCCTGTTCACATTTTTTTTTTTTCTCCAAGACAGGGTTTCTCTGTGTAGCTTTGCGCCTTTCCTGGAACTCGCTTTGTAGACCAGGCTGGCCTCAAACTCACAGAGATCCCCTGCCTCTGCCTCCCGAGTGCTAGGATTAAAGGTGTGTGCCACCACCGCCCGGTGCCTGTTCACATTTTTGTAGTACCTGCTAGGTTTAACTTTATCTTTATACTATCTTTTATAGTAATAATTATGTTTTCTCTGTTTCTGTTCTCTCTTTCTCTCTCATGTCAATCCTGTTTTCCTCCTTTTTTTGGACCCCGACTTCTCTTTTGTTTTTAATCTGTATTTCTCTATTATCTTCAAGATTGAAATAGTGTCAATAGATTCCCTTCCATTTTGTTTTATTATTTTCTCAGTGCTGGGAATGGAAACCAGGGCCTCTTGCAATGTTAAGGCAAGTGCTCTATCTTTGCTATATCCCCTGCCCTGATTTGTTTTTTTTGGGTGTGCTGTATGCATGTTAGTGTGTGTAAAGGTACATGTGTGTCAGTACATGTGGAAACCAGAGGATAGCTTCAGGCCATCCACCTTTTGAAGAGGCTGGGACACAGAACGACAAGATTTCTCTTTAGCTTGAGACATACCAAGGTAGACTAACTGGCCAGTGAACCCCAGGAACCCACCTGTCTCAATCCCCCAGCCCTGAGATTACAAGCACGTACCACCACATCTGGCTTTTTTTTTTTTTTTTTTTTTCACATGAGTACTCATGCTTGCAAGGCATGTATACACTTTACCAACTAAGGTAATTCCCCAGTCCTATTTTCTATTTACTTACTTATTTTTTGAGACACAGTCTTTCTGTTTAGCCCAAACTGACCCCAAATTCACAATCTGCCTGCAGAAGCCTCAACTTTTATCGTGGAATGTTTTGAACATATGCACATGTAGAATAAATAGCATATTAATCCCATCTATACCTGCTATCCAGCCTCAGCTGTCAATAACCATGGCCAAACCTGCCCCATCCCCATCCTCAGCCTGTCACCATATTTTTAGTAAGAACATAGTAAGAAAACATAGATCAAACTTCTAACGTGTTTTACCTCCACCTTCAAGATATTGTTGAAATAATCTACATTTTTGAGAAGAGGCTGTGGATAGTATTAGATTGGAAAGATGAGTAAGCAGATGATAAAAGCTAATAATGCCAGACTTGGGGAGGAGCCCTAGAAGTTGGTTCAACAGAGAGACAGAATCTGATCTGTGCTTTAGGGGAAGTAAAAGAAAAGAGAAAGCTTTTTTTTTTTTTTTTTTTTTTTTTTTAATAAATGAATGAACAAGTAACCCAGTAAGACACAGAGTTTCAAGTAATGAGAACTGGGATGAAAACGAAGTTTACAAGGGAGAGGTCTGAATTTTAGTGGGTGCCTATGAGTGTGGGGCTGGAGGAGGATTTGGTAACCCAGTTTCACAGCCGTGGTACCAGGAGGTTGATGAGAACATGAACCAAGAAACATTATGGGAAAAGAGTACATGTGACTTAAAGATCTTGAATTCCAAGGCAGTGGGCATGGAGTCTGGCTGACAAGGCAGAAGGAAATGTACCACAGTGTTAGAGGGGATGATAGCTCTACGTCTACAGAGAAGACCGCAGGGCCGACTTGGAATGGTCAATGAAAACTCCGCTGTCTGACACACCCCACTGGGAACTGTTTTGGGAGGGTGTGACACCAACTGTCGAGTCTTAATTCCACTGTTTCCTATTCACTCTCCAAAGAGGACAAGTTTGGTTAGGAGGGTAAGCTTGCTATTGCCAAAAAAATTAAAAATGAAATGGATAGTCAGTTGAAGTGAAAGTTGAGACTGTATGTGTCTCGGATGTGATATCCGCATGCCACACAATGTACAGCAGATAGTGGGAAATGAAGATCTGAAGTTTAAGAACTATATAAACTATAAGAGAACCATACACTAGACAAATACATAGCTCTGTGCATTGGAATGATTTTTTTTTTTAGACATGGTCTCACTATGTAGCCTTGGCTGGCCTAAAACTTGCTGTGTAGACCAGCTGACCTTAAACAGAGGCCTCTACCTCTCACAGTGCTGGGATTAAAGGTGTGCATCACCACACTGGCCTCTTATTTATTTATTTATTTATTTAGAGACATGGTCTTTTGTAGCTCACGCTGGCCTGAAACTCACTCTATAGATGAGGCTGGCTCGGATTACAGGTGCGCACTAGCACATGCTGTGGACATGACTTTTACTTCATTTGACCTAGCAGCAGTCATGTAGATCAGTACCTAGAAGCGAGCGTAGAAGTCTGTTTTAATTGAGGCCTTGGCTATTTTAGTGGCTATTCCCTCGGCCTGGTTTTACTAATCTACTTTCTATCTCTAAGGATTTGCCTGTTCTGGATGTTCTCTATAAATGGAACCATACAACTAGAATCCTCTGTGTCTTCTTTCACTTACCCTAATGTTTTCAAGTTTCATCCATGCCCAAACATGTGTCATTATTTAATCACTTTTTAATTACAAAGAATATTTCATTGTATGGACACAGCATCATATATCATGCATAAAGTGAACATACTATTCTGCTTTCTGACTATTTACATAATACTATAAACATTCATATCATTTTTATTTTACTATTATTATTTGCTTGCTTTCATTTTAGCTTTTCAGACGGGGCTGGCCTGGAACTTGTGGCAGTCCTCCTGTCTCAGCTTCCCAAACGCTGGGATTATAGGTGTGAGCTACAATGTCCCAGCTCTGTTTTTTGGTTTTGTGTTTGTTTTTGAGACAGGTTTTTACTCTGTATTTTGGCTGGCCTTGAACTTGCTAAGTAACCCAGGTGGGCCTTGAACTTATGATCCTCCTGCCTCTGCCTCCTGAATACTTGAATTAAAGACATATACCACCATACCTGGCCCATGCAGAAATTTTCGTATGGACATTCCTTCTGGTTCGTAGTGGAATTTCTGAGTTAACTGCAGAGGAACTACCACCCTTTTCCAGGTGGCTGTTGTATTTTGCCCACCACTGGCGGTGTATGACAATTTTGGTTTCTCCACAGTCGTGGACACTTGTCCCACCTCCTCGTCTTAGCCATCCCGGTGCATATGCAACAGAAGCTTGTTCTTGTCCCTTCCCTGCTGCAGATGTTGAGCGTTTTTGTGTGCTCTGTCCATTTGTGCGTCCTTGCTGGAGAATTGTCTTTTCAACTCTTTCACCGACTTTTAACTTGGGTTTTGTTTTGTTTTGTTTTAATTGTTTGGTGTTCTTTATAATATAGATAGAAGTCCTTTATCAGATATATGATTTACATATATATTTTCATATTTTGTGAATTATCATTTCACCTTTTTTAATGGTATCCTTTGAATCTTAAACACATTTAACTTATGGCGTGCGTGCGTGCGTGCGTGCGTGCGTGCGTGGGTGTGTGTGTGTGTGTGTGTGTGTGTGTGTGTTTTTTGCTAGGATTGAACCCAGAGCTTCAGTCACTGAGCTACATCCCTAATCTAAATATTTAATTTTAATTTTGACTAAGTCCAATTTATCTTTTTTCTTTGTCAGATGAGTTTTTGGTGTCATATCCAAGAAACCATTGCCTAATCTGAGGTCACAAGTATATACTACTGTACCGTATTTCCTTCCAATCATTTTACAGCATTAATATTACAGTGAGGGCTAAGATCCATTCAGCTAATTTTTTAATGTGGCACAATATAAAGGCCCATGTTTGTGACTTTCCTCCTCGCTGTGACCAAGTAGCTGACACAATGGAGGAAGGGTTCCCAGAGATGCACAGTTCAGAGAGGAGTGACTAGGTCCTGGAGAACAACACAAATGCCTACTTACCTGTGGCCAACCTTGCAAGTTGAAAGAACTACTGATTCTATTTTTACCCATGTTAGGGAGGAAGTCTTGCTGGGTAAGGCTTTGAACCTCCTATAACTGTCGGGATGAGGTCGGAGTTGCTCACTCTTGGTGATATGGGGAGGTCAGCTGTCCTCAGAGGAGTCCTTTCTAACTGCAAACAAAGTTTAAATGTAAAGCAGAGTTTCTGAGCCGCAACACTTGTCCTTTCTTGTGGGAGGCTGCCCCGTGCACAGTAAGATCTTTGGCAGCCCGCCTTCCCCCTACTCGATGCTGGTAGACCGCTGTCCATTGTGAAAACCACAACCGTAGTCAGACATTACCAAGTTTCCTTGAGAGGGATGTCACCCCTGATTGAGAACTACTGCCCTGGACAAAGCAGGGACAAAGGACAAGGACAATCCCAGCATGAGGATGTACTAGAGGGGACAAGGCGGTTGCTCAGTTGGTAAACACTTTGGGTTTGTCCAGAGTTACTTTGCTCGGTGTTCCTACCAGCATTTCTTGCAGGATCGTTGGGCAAAACAACTCTCATTTAACAAGCACATCTCATATGAGGACCTAAGATCATTCACCAGAGCCCACAGAAAAGTCGAGTGCAGTGGTACACACCTGTAATCCCAGCACTGGGAGGCAGAGACAGGAAGATCTCTGAGGCTTGAGGGCCGGCCAGTCTAGCTGAATTGGTGACCTCTAGTTCAGTGAGAGACCCTGTCCTAAAAATAAGGTAGATTGAGGAAGTCATTTGACATCAACCTCTGCCTTCCACATACATGAATACACACTTGACATGTACACACATGCACATGAGTATGCACACACATACACACATATATGCACACACAAAATGTACTAGATGCAGAGAATTTTAAATGACTAAAAGAATTGTCCTTGCCGGGCAGTGGTGGCACACGCCTTTAATCCCAGCACTCGGGAGGCAGAGGCAAGCGGATCTCTGTGAGTTCGAGGCCAGCCTGGTCTACAAAGTGAGTTCCAGGAAAGGTGCAAAACTACATAGAGAAACCCTGTCTCGAAAAACCAAAAAAAAAAAAAAAAAAAAAAAAAAGAATTGTCCTTGATACAAAGCTTGGATACCTGTCCTGCAGAGTTATGGCTGTGTCCTCAACACAACAGTGTTGACCAGAACCATCAAGATCGGTATTATTGCCATTATTACAGAGTGGATTTGGTACTATGAAAGTGGCTTCCTCTCACTCCTGCCCAGGTCCCCTTGTGACAGGGCTTCAAGCAGGCCAGGCAGTGCTCAACCACTGAGCCAGCTCCCCAACCTTCTTCACTCATGCACTGATGCCTTCTGCAGCCACTGTGAAGAGCGGGACCTTGGCTCCTGCACACTGTCTGAGGCCTTGAAGGGTAGACCTTGCGGCCTCATTCCAAGTAGATGGAGCTGCCCAGGTGTCAGGGAGGCACCGATCACAGTGTATAACAGACAACGCATTCTGAGTAGAGATGGTATAGGGAGAAGATAGAAATATTTTCTTGGGGGAAAGACTGGAGAATAGGTTGGATGTGGTGGCACAATACCTATAATCCTAGCATTTCAGGGGAGGGCATAGAGGCAGACAGATCATGAGTTTGAAGGCAGGCTGGGCCACAGAGCAAGGGTTCCAGGCCAGCCTGGGCTACATAGAGGGATGCAAACCAACAGAAGGATCAGAGAATGAGTGGGACATCACTGTCCCTGTGAAGTACCTGAGGGCCTGTGGACACTAGACTGCTTTCCTGTCATATTTTTTATTCTAGGCAAAAAGCAAATTCCATTCTCTTTTTTTTTGGGGGGGGGGGGAGTGTTTCGAGACAGGGTTTCTTTGTGTAGCCCTGGCTATCCTGGAACTAGTAATGTAGACTCAAACTCACAGAGATCCACCTACCTCTGCCTCTCGAGTGCTGGGATTAAAGGCATGTGCCACCACCACCCAGCACAAATTCTATTCTTAACCCTCTGTTCAAATCTCTGTTTCCCTTCCAGTGATTGTCACTTGACATGGGTCTCCGGCCAAGCTCGTAATGAGACAATAGCCAGGCGGCTGTGGGATGTCAGCTGTGACCTGCTGGGCCTCCCTACGGATTGGTAAGTGGTGGTTTGGACTCAAAGAAGATTGGAAGAGATGATTGTTCTTCAAAGGGGCCAAAACCTTGAGCATGAAGAGCAGAACTTCGAGCCTTGCCTGCTTGGTGTCCATCCAGTTAAATCCCAGGACACTGCCAGGTTCCTGGAAACGTTTTGAGTTTGTACTGACTTACTTTGTTCCTGCACCTGCCGACATTTCTAGTGCTATCTATCAGGCACTAAGACAGAGGACCCTCAAATGACCTACGCAGCTCCTGTTTTCCTTTGGAAACCCATTCCTAGGAGAATGGAAACCCTAGAAGGATCGGTGCATGGCAATATGGATTAGATATAGCTCCTCCCAGCCAACCAGACTTTCCTTGAAGAGCTCCATTGCAACCCCAGCTGAACCCCCGGAGTCCAGTGACTTGGCTCGAGAGCAAGCCTTTGTGGCCCCAACGTCTGGATACTTAGAGGAAAGTCTTCACTAAATCTGGCAGTCTGAAGCATTTGCTACTGAAACACTTTCCCATGTCCAGATCACAGATGAGCTTCCTTCTCTAAGAAGTTTGTGGAATTTGAAGGGCAGAAATAAAAATAAAGTCAAACTGTCATTTCTCACTGTTTCTCAGCCCAGTGAGGAGGTAATGACGCGTTATGAAAAGATAGGTCACTTGGCTTCAGTTACTGACTCCAGACCCATAGAGGCCTCTTTTTTGTACTTTTGTTTCTCTTAGGAAACAGGAAAGGCAAGGCCTTTTCATTATCACCGTGCTGGCTTTGTGTAGCTCCTTGTGCATTCATGCAATAGAGTGTTTCCACAAAATTCACAGCAGCTACAAACGAAAAGTCCTAAGTCAGACTATAGTTTAAACAAATGACCAGAGGTGGAGCAAACCCATGTGGAGTCTTTGATATTAACGAGTATGGCTGCAAAGAGAGGGAGACACTGTTCATGTTGTAATCAGTCACTGAGAAGCACAGACGTGGCAGGGAAGAAGTTTTAAAGAAAGAAAAATCCTGGGAGGTAATCCATGATAGGAAGGGATCAGTTAGGAATCTAAAACCACAACTGAAAAACAGTAATAGACAGCTATAGAAAGCTCACTATCAGCCGGGCGGTGGTGGCGCACGCTTTTAATCCCAGCACTCGGGAGGCAGAGCCAGGCGGAGCTCTGTGAGTTCAAGGCCAGCCTGGTCTACAGAGTGAGATTCAGGACAGGCACCAAAACTACACAGAGAAATCCTGTCTCAAAAAACCAAAAAAAAAAAAAAAAAAAAAAAAAGAAAGAAAAAAAAGAAAGAAAGAAACAAAGCTCACTCTGTGTGTGTGTATGTGTGTGAAGAAAAAGTCCAAAGCACAAGAGTGAAAAATTAACAAGTCTTTATTTAGAAAATTTATCCTAAGGACTGACACTGGTAATTATAGTCAATACATAATCTCTCAGAGCATATCTTTATACTAGCTTAACAATATTAAGGTGTCAATTTGGGGTGGGGGGTGAAGAGATGAGATGAGTTAGCACTGGCCGCTGCTCCAGAGGACCCTGGTTCAATTCCTAGGACCTGCATGGCAGCTCCCAACCATCTCTAAGCCTCAGTTCTAGAGGATCCCACACCCTCGTCTACCTCCATGGGCACTGTACAGATGTGGTGCACTGTGCAGGTGTGGTGCACTGTACAGATGTGGTGCACAGGTGCACATGCAGGCACTCACACATGCATCATTTTGTTAAGAAAAAAAAAGATGTCAATCTCGGGAATGGAGGCCAGTACTTTGCTGGCATGTGGGAGGCTCTGGGTTGGATCCCAGCACTGGGAAAGAAAGCAGAGATCGCTTCCACTGACTTAGAGTCTGTGCTTCATTTGAGAGCTTTACCGGCAAAGGGAGTCAGGAATTCCTCTGTCCCATCACTTGTTTGGAGGATGTTATATTAAGAGCATTTGCCATCTTCTTGGGCTGACAATTATATTTTAACTTGAATAGGTAAGACTGGTAGGACCACAATCTTTAACGTCTAATATCTGTAAATTAATAATTTTGGTGGTTTTTTTCTGACCATTAAACTATATACTTAAAAATGAGTTTATGGGGAAATTGGAAAACTTTTGGTAATGCAGCAAATAACTGAATTAATATTTTACTTAATTTATATTCAACTGTCAATGAAAATAAAGATTCTTTTCAATTATCATGTTTTTAGTTCCAGATTATAACTGTAAAACTTAAAACAAAGTTTAATTGTAGTTTAAAGAAAACACTTACTGTGGATATGCAGCGATTTCCCATTCTAATGGATGATGTGTCCCAGAATCATTACAGTACAACTGCAATTCACATGCCTTAATTTGGGTTGTGATCATCAGGACCAATCATGAAATCTATTTCCTACTTACCTTTCATGCCACTATCCAAAGGTCACTGTTTCCACAGCTCTTGGTCATGGCAGGCTCTCCTTGTTTGTGCCTCTATTTCTGTGACAAAAATATGAGGCTTGGTGCTGAAGAGAAGGCATAGCTCTTAGGATCACACGACTCTTACATGCATGACAGGCAGCTCACAACCACCAGTAACTCCAGCTCCAGGGGATCCAGCGCCCTCTTCTGGGCTCCACAGGCAGTACACTTGTATGCATACATATACACATACACTTAAATATAAATATTTTAATTTTATTTTTGAGGCAGGATTTCTCTGTGTAGCACTGGCTATCCTGGAACTTGCTCTGTAGACCAGGCTGGCCTGAACTCAGTGATGCACCTACCTCTGCCTCCCAAGTGCTGGGATTAAAAGTGTGTGACACCACTCCTGGCCTATCTTTTAACTTTTAAGAAAAAGGAATATAAGACTTTGCACCACCACTAACAATCCCAGATTTTATCTCTGCACAATGCATATTACATTTTATTTATTGAATTCAATGATTATTGAATTCAAGCTAGTAAAACCTAGGGCCTCAAAGACAAAAATCACCAAAACATTCCCCAAGGAACCTGCTCCCCTACACATCTTGTAAAATGGAACATAAGACTTTGCTTATGCTAGATAAGCGTTGTACCCTTCAGTTGCACCCTCAGCCCCATATATATCTTTCCATGCATAAATACTGAGCCCTCACACAAACTTTTGCGAGCAGGCTCTTTGTGCAAACCATACCATCAATATACATAGGAACTAATTAATACCCATGGAAAGTCAGAAGGGACTTCAAGATTGTTGATATATTTCACTTAATGGCAGGTAAGACGCAGTAAGACGGGTCTGCCTTCCACACCAGATCATAAATTACCCAAGCGCAGAGACAAAAATCTATTTTGTTCAACATACGACTTGGCCTTTGCACAATGTCTGTGCTTAACCTGTTGTGAGAGCCTAATGAACTAGACCCGCTCAGCCCCTGGAAGCTGTGACTGTATTTTGGGATCACACAGCCCAGTTTCCTCTTCTGAAAGCATGTGACCCTGGCCACTTAATCTCCCCAATATTAGTGTTTTACCATCCGAGGGCAGGCATGATTCTGCTCACCTAACAATCTAGGGCCAAGAATGAACATTTAGTCGAAGTCAGGGGACAGAAGGAACTGCGGTGACAGCGAGGATGAAGTAGAGGTTCCTGTGCTTTCCAGTCACTGCGCAACAGGGCTGGCCTTCCACGCCCCTACACAGTGTGACCCATCAGCCGAGCTCCCTCACTCAACTACAACCCCCAGCATGCACTGCAGGGCCGGCGGGCCCGGATGAGGCGGCCGAGGCGCCCGTCCCGCGGGCCCCCTCGGGCATCTTCGCCTTGGTACCTCCCCATCCCCGGCTGGCTGTCTCCAGGTCGGCGACAGCTGCTCGTCCCCCGCGCGGCGCCGGGCCCCTGAAGTAGCGGGGAGTGGTCCCCGCCCGGGCTTTCCGTCAGGCTTTGGCGCCTGGCGCCCGCGCGGTGACAGCAGGGGGAGGGCGTCCGGCTTGGAGGACCCCGGAAGCGCCTGCTTCCGGGCCGCCCAGGTCCGGCGGTCGCGGTGATGGCTTCGGGACCGGGCAGCTGAGCGCCGAGGTGGGAGTGGGCCCTGCGCCCGGAGTCTCAGAGGCCGACGCTCACGGGCAGCTTGCGCCATGGCCACCTCCGCCGCCTCCTCCGAGCATTTCGAGAAGCTGCATGAGATCTTCCGCGGCCTCCTTGAAGACCTACGAGGGGTGCCCGAGCGGCTGCTGGGGACCGCGGGGACCGGTGAGGCGGGGGCGGGACCAGACCAGGAGAACTCCGCCCGGTGCTGTCCTCCCAGAGGCGAACCCGGGTTCCCCGCTTCCCGTTCGGACACGCCCCCTGCTGCAATCGGTCCCGCGACGCCCAGGGTCTCCTGCAGCCCCTTGGCGTGACAGGGGGCGTGCAAAGGGATAGACATTAGGGTGTCGTCTCAGGGATCCTCTCTTGTCCTCAGCCCCCCCAATTCTTAGTTATCTGCCTCTCCCAGGAGCATCGGAGGTTCTTAAATCTGCGGACCCGTGTTTCAGTATGATGACTTTTAAAAAAAGAATCGTAAGATTGGGGGTTGGGGATGTAGGAGTTTGGCAGTTTGGTAGGCAATGCAATAATTCTATGGTTAGAATTATTTAAAAATAATAAATAGGTGAGACATAGGAGGGAGGTGAGGGAAGTCAAACAGCCACATTGAAGAGGAACTTGAATGTCTCACATGAAGACTCTTTTGATGTCTTAGGGGAAATCAGTAAGGACCATACGCAGCTGAGTCATGTGGATTTCATTTTAGAAGCAAGGCTGCGGTAGCTGGATAGAGGATGTGAGAATGGATATAAGGCTGTGTTAGGAGCTTCCGTGGCAGTGGACTAGGTAAGCATGGGAATCTGGAGAGTGAGCATTAAACCCAACAGGTGGCTCTGAGGCAGATTTATGAGACTGGTGTGTAAGAGTAGGAAGAAAGATTGAAGAGTGCGTGTTTTCTCACGTGATCAGTTGAGTGTATGAACGTAAATATGAGGAGCAGATTCGTTTGAGTTGTAGATGAGACTGCCTACCTGTGGAGTGTATTCTGTATCTAGCCTGACAAAATATTCTTCTGCCATTAAAAACATTATGAAGAATTTATTAAATAGTAAAAACCAAGAATTTGCCAGTGGCAAATACTTTTAATCCCAGCACTTGGGATGTAGAAACAGGAGAATCTGTGTGAGTTAAAGGCCAGCCTGGTCTACCTAGTAACATAGAGCGTTCCAGACAAGATTTTATATAGTGAGACACTATCGAGGGACGGGGGGAGATAAGGAGGGAATGGAGAAACAGAGAGGAGAGACACTGTCTTCAGACTGGCTTGATAGCATTGTGACCTTGCCAGTTATTTTAACCAAAGCAGTTTCCTCTACAGAATAAAACATAGTGTCTAACTTCATGGGCGTTTTGTGAAGAGTAAATGAGTTAAGATACGTAAAGCCCTTAAAAATACCGTCTGGCAATAGTAAGAGCTACTAGCTTTTGTTAATATATGGGAGCTTGCTGTTTTATTTACATTTAAAATATTAGCTCTTTATACAGCTATTCTTAGGATGCTCTTTTCTGTTTGTTGGGTTTTGGTTTTCTTGTTTCTCTGTGTTGCCCTGACTGACCTGGAAC